TTAACAAAAATAATAATAATAAAGATTTGGGTGTTACAGAAGCTATAATTTAGAGAATAACATTAATAACAATTATCAATAGGAATAAAATAGGTCTTGTTAATCAACGTTTTAGACCTTTAACCTTAACTTGAGTTTCTTAATAAACTTTATTAAGAAATTGAAATTTTCCTTAGAAAACTTAGAATTTCTCATTTAAAGAATTAGGATTAAAATATTTTTTTAATTCTTAAAATAATTTAATAAATTGAATAGTAGTAATGAAGGATACATGTAAAAAAAAGTTAATGAAATCAATTTCTGATAATTTTCTTTTTTCTTTTAAATTATCAGTTATCTCTTCAATATTTTTCTTATTCTAGATTCATAAAAATATGTTATTTATCTATATTGCATTTTTTAAATAAATCTCTCTTTTTTCTTCTTCTAATTAATATTAAATTAAATTAATTAATTATAACAATGATTCCTGAATTTGATTTTTAAACTTCCATCCACTTTACTACTTACAATAATTAATACACATGTCAAATATCTAATATAAATAGGTTGTTATTCACTGTTTATCTTACTTTATCATAAATAGTAGGTGTTTTAGCACATAGAGATCGACAACTCAAAATTTTACTTTTGTAGAGGGGAATTTGGTATACCTTGTATCAATTTAATATTACTCTTTCTTTGTAAATAAAAAAATATAAAAATAATGTTCTCACTAAATATGTCCCGGTATATAAAAGAGGAAGTCAACTCAATATTTAAGATTTTCATGATATATTGTTTATTCTATGTATGTCTACTCAGTCTTGTAATAAAAAGTTCTTATTGTTTCTCTTCAAGTATATAAAGTGATATAAAACTCCAGGTGGGTCCAAATGCCGCATCTTCTCGCTATTTCTTTATGTAATTGCATTCAAAAAAGCTAAACCAACATGTTTGAATTCGATATACTTTTCTGGCCAAAGGAAAAAAGTGCTAGACATATTAAATATGTCTCTACAATCTGATCTAATTCTTGATTTTTGTCATATCAAATCAAAGTAAATAAATAAGCAAAATATGTTGAAGATTCGACATAGCAAATCCAATAAAACTAAATATTCCTTTTTTAACCGGAATTAAGCTAGCTGAAAGACTAGACCTAGTGGGGTTTGGAAAGAAAACAAAATTAGGAATTTAGATAACGAATATAGATATAGGGCTGTATATTCTTCAGGTATTCGCTGGATCGTTCTTTAATTTTGTTCTCTTGCACATAAACACTAGGATTCTTTTTTTTCTTCCTTTTTTTCCCCCTTATAGATTTCGAAAATCACTCATAAAAATTGAATATATGAACCAAATTCCATAATCTGAGTAGCATGATGACACATATATGGTGATAGGTTAGGTGTGTGCGTACGACAAATTTGCAAATGAAGAATATGTAGGACAGATGCCCGCGGAACAATTAACTAACATCACGAGTAGAATTTAAATAAAAAGATAGGTACAACAGGAAAAAATGTCAGCAATTATTTCTAATAAATCTCAATATAATAGAATAAGAAGAAAAAAAACTTAAAAAAAAATATTACCAACATTCTTCGGAATTAACAATTATCTCTATAACAAATTAAGTTGGTAATTCTATGACAAATCTTAGTTTTAGCCTTATTGAAGGAGTTCATGTGTTGGCTTAAGATTTACAATTCTTTTTTTTGTTGATAGTTCAAATAGTTATTTATTTTATTTTTTTTGCAGTTTTTAGCTTGGACTCATAATGCCTTTTATCTTAAAAAACAATTACCTCTTTTGTTTTCGATTGTGTGTGCATACATTGTACTTAATCTAAATTTCTTTATTATTTTGCTTCTAGAATTTACGCCAAACTCATAACATTTTAAATTCACCTCAAATGAGGTCCGGGTTCATCTTAGATCCATTATTATTCATTAATAAAAGAATGCGCTCGAATTAGGAACATATTGGTACGAAGCATATTCTGAAAGAATTAAATTAAATCGTGATCTTCATCCCATCTATTGCTTCGAACCGAAAAACTAATGTAGCGTTCAATCGAATGGAATATTTGTTATTAAAGTCGCTGGTTTACGAGGCTAGTTGTTTCACTCATAGGTGGCAAGAGAAGGGCATGCAGAAGGAGTTTTATACATATATAAAGACGCGTTGTTCACTAAAATATATTATATAAGGAAGCATTTGAAAGAGGTAGGTAGATGCATATGGAGTGGAGAACATGTTATCTGGATATGACTTTGATACCATTAGGGTTACTCATAAACGTTGGTTACCATGTTTGGTTATGGCATAAGGTTCGGACACATGCTTCCATAACCATCTTCGGAATAGATGCCGATGGCCGGTATTTGTGGGTTTCAGGTATGATGAAGGTATGTCTCCTTCAACTTCATAGTAATAGTAATGATATTCCAATCATTATAGTCCACATAATAATGGAGAGTCTGTATAATATATATATATATATATAATTTTAAGTTCTTGTACTTTGAAAGAGAAGAGGGGGAGGTAGGAGAAAAAAGAAGAAAGAGAAGAATAGAGAATAGAAATAAGAGAGAGAGAGAGTGGAGAAAGAAGAGACATTGAAAAAGTTAGAGAAAGAAGAAAAACAAATGGAAAGAAAAAAAAAAAGAAAAGGAAAGAGAACAAGAAAGCACAGAGACAAAGGAGAGAAGGAAGAAAGTACGATAAATGGAGGAAAAAGAGGCAAAAGAAAAGATAAGAAATAAGAGGAAAGGGATAAAGAGATAAAAAAAAAACATAGATGAGATAATAAAAAATATGAAGAATATTTGATTCTTATTTTTTTTTGGAAATATTTAAAATTTCACAATTTTAAAGAATTTTAAGAATACTTAAATTTTAAATTATTTATAAATTTTTTGTTCAAATAAAATATTTCACTTTAAAACATTTAATTTTTTTTATAAAAATTATTCTATTAAAATTTCTCATTCAAACACACTCTAAACATAACATAAATTATATTTTAAAAAAAAAAAAAAGTGTCGGAAATCTTGTGTTAGGAGAATTTTATCCAAATAGCAGCACAATAATTGTATGAGAGTAATTTGAAAAGAGAGAAAGTAGTTATAAAAGAGAGAGAAATATACTTTTGTTTATTTTCAGAATTTTTTTTCATGCTGTAAAAGAACAGACGTAAATAAAATTGTCATGATGATTTATCGAAAGGAAAAAAATGTAATGATTATAACAATTTCAAAATATTTTGTGGTTCATAAAATTAAAACAGTTCTACATTTTCTTCCAAAGAATATATAATGAGTATATCATTTATACAATATAATTTCTTAATTACTTTTTTATAACAATTCTTTTCTCTCTATTTTTTTTTATCATATGATTTATTTCATTTCACATTTTCTCTCTAGCTTTTCATACTTACAAAAAGAAATTATATTGAAGAATTTGTTGCATAAAAGACCTGACATCGACAATTTGTTGATCCTATTTTGATATAGTGACATTATATGTATAAATTTGATTAAAGGATATTGACAAGAAGAACATTGTAGCGGTTCAAAGTATTCGGAACATGATGATGGGATCAATCTTTATGGCCAACACAAGCATCCTTCTCTGTTGTGGCCTTGGAGCAGTGATTAGCAGCACTTACAGTGTGAAGAAGCCTCTCATGGAATCAATTTATGGAGCACATGGGGAATATGTTGTGGCACTTAAATATGCAACACTTTTTGCTATATTCTTATTCTCTTTTCTCTTTCACTCTCTGGCAGTGAGGTTTCTCACCCATTTGAGCATCCTCATTTGCACACCACAAGATGTGATGACCTTGGTTACCCCACAGTATTTGAGTGAGCTACTAAGAAGAGCCACTATTTTGAACATTGTGGGAAATAGGATTTTGCACACAGGACTTGCCCTTCTGCTTTGGATCTTTGGGCCAGTGATGGCATTCTCATGCTTGGTTGCCATGTTGCTGGTGCTTCATAAGCTTGACTTTGTGGCTAGGAAAGAAAAGGTCATAAAGATAGGAACTGACAAGGAAATTGGTTGTCCTGAGATTTGAGCTAGAGTCTCAAGTTGTGTGCAATTCAATCATGAGATTTTGTATTTTACATACATGTATCTTTCACGAAAAATAATTTTGTTTGGATCGAATATAATAAGACGATTCAAGAAATTTTATATTGATAGCATTTGTGTTGTTTCCCTTGTTTATTTTGAAAATCAGGGGCGATGATATAGGAGTGACCATGGTCACCCACAAATTTTTTAACTTACTTTAAATTTTTATTATAAAACATTTTTAACACCCCTGAAAGAAAGAAAAAATGAGAATTTTTTTTCTTAGCTCCATAAGATAAATCCTGCCTCCATGGTTGGAAATACTAAAATTCTATTTCAAGTTTTTTTTGGCCTAGTTATAGTTAATATGAAATTTTTTTACATACGCTAAAAATTGAATACAAAATTTTCTGTTAAATAAATTATCCTTATAATGTATGAATTAATGTTTAACTATTGCACCAACCTATTAAGTTAAAGACTTTTTTCTTTTAATATTAACACGACAACAATGTGCTTAAATAACAAAATGGTCAACTATATAAGGGTTGACTTGTTCGTCACATAAATTCTAATAAGTATCGTAATTTATTTTTTCAATTAAATATTAATTTTTATTATACATCTTAATGCTTTATTTTTATTTTTTTTAATTTCCATCTTTACATCATGCTTTGGACAAATGACTTGAATATCCACGAATTGCAGTAATTATAAAACAAAAAAGGATTTTGTTCTTACCGGAAATCTGCTATAGAGCTGATCCGCCGGGTAAGATTGGTGAGCCTCCTTCGCTGGGTGTATTGGTGCTCCGAGATGGGGGAGGTACCTGCAAAAGAGACTCCGATGCTAAAGTTAGGGTTTTAGGGTTGTCTTGGGCCTGAGATAAGATATGATATGATACGATATCATATAATATGATATGATCACGTTGTGACATAATATGGTATAATTGGAGAACGGTTTTGGCCTGGGACGAGATCTCCGGGCTCGGGCGTGGTCTGTCCGGATTCCGGGCTGACGTTGTTCAACGCGTGCCCGGGATGACCCTTATAATGTCAACCCGGGCTGAGAGCCCGGGTGCGAAATGCGGTCAGTACACTAGCCCCCCGAGCTCCGAAGGCCGTGGGCCGAGGATTTAAGGTCGGGCTCGTGAGAGGAGAGGTGGCTTTGCACGTACGCTAGCTGGAGGCTCGCCACGTGTCGCGACTGTTCATGCTCTGGAGACGTTTGATTGACGTATTGGGGGCAGTGACGGTTTTATAATGATGGGTTGGTAATAAGTGTGTCGTTGGGTGTGCGTTTCAACTGACACGTGTCGCGTCGGTTTTGAATTTCGGGGAGAGTTTTAGCCTTTCTCTCTTCTCGCGCCTCTTTCCTGTCTTTCTTTTGACTTCTCGAGTACGAGAGATTTTCTTGGTTCCCTTTACCTCCTTTCTCTTTTGCGCTT